ATCAAATTTGTTTTTGTCTTGATAATAACTGACGAATAATTGTTGAAGGGGAAGTCAGGCAAATAAGGAAGCGAATACTAATTTTTGACATTCACAGCACAGTTTTTGGTAAACTTTTGGGCAAAGCAATATTTTATTTAGGATAAATTACCCTTGACAAATACGCGTAGATGTTACATCGAAATGCAGTCAGGGCACAGGCTGGAGATACTGGCTCGAAATGGCGTCGTGAATAGCTGTCGTTCGATTCAGGAAGATTTGCTCGAAGAAGAAATACATTGAGAATGCCAAATGCCGACACGCAGAACCTGGTCGAAAAACAAAAATAAATGGAAGGCTGTCCAGGGCATCGTCGCCTACCCCACACTTAGTCAAATCCATCCACAGCCGCTTTCCTCGCAGCGTAACCGCCACTCCCGTAGAGCCCCTTTTACCGTAGTTCTATTATTTTAAAAAATTTAATACGAAATACATTCAATAAGTAAGCAAGGCAAGGCTGGGCAAGAAAATCTATATCGAAGAACGCTCCCTTTCGAAGGAGAATTAGTTGTACAGCGGATTTAAGTTTGGAGCACGTGTGCAAATTAGGTCCTTTTGGACAAAACCATGCAAAATGAATGTTCGGACTGATTTCTTGGAGTAAACTGCTGTTTGTTACAGATGTGTTGAGAAACAGAGAGAGAGAGGAATGAGGCTAGGGACAGGGCGGCGCATCAGTAATTAAATTTGGAAGGCCAGTTGAGAAACGATTTTACTGTAACAGACTTGGGAAGAAATGTGCGAAGAGTTCGAAATATTTTTGGGGGAACGGGGTAGAGGAAGGGAAAAGGAGGATAGGCTTTTGAGAGAACCACAGTTCCAAGAAATATACTGAATTCTTGCTGTGCGCAGGTACCAAAGCCGATCGCCCAGATAAGCAGCATTGAACAAGCAATCGCTAACGCACCGGCGCCAATTTATTTGCGGCCGAACGAACTGTGCTTTGATGATGTAGCCGATAGCGGCGAAATACTCAGTGAATTTTTCATGCCCTCGAGTTTCACCATGCAGCCAGTGAAAAGTATCATGGAGCCTGCCATTCCACCAGCAGTAAGTGCTCGCATAATTTCATATTTTTTCACTGAAAAGGGCGTAGCACAACACTGCAACAATCTGAATACTCTGTGTTATACGGTATGATCCGATAACGGCGTGTCTTTTTGAATTTCAGACAGCCGCTCAGATATCTAGCGCAGAGCCACCGACGTTTACACAGCTTTATAACTTTTATGAACATTATGATCACAAGGATGCATGTTCGACGTATGGCAATGAGAATCAAATTAGCAAATGCGAGACTGACATTAAGACGTGTAGGCTTCTTTTCAATTACTGCACTTAACTCTGCAACATTCAGAAGGGCAGTTGTTTGCTAGGTTTTATCGTAAAAGAAGGGAAATTACTCAGATCCAGCTCGGTTCGGTCGCGCAGTGTACACTTACTTTTGGAACTGAGTTGCGAAAATTACACCGGATTTTGTCTAGGTAAGG